TCGGAACTATGTCGGAAAAAAGTGGCGGTTTCTTTTTTCTTTTCAACGTTAGCACCACTGTGGTTAGCGCCACGGAAATCGTCAGCTTTGTTTAGATGGACGAGTCCATCTATGTTCGGAACGGAGGAGGGGGGAGAGAAGAAACAGCAACGATGCGCTGCTCTGTCCTGTGTTACGTTACTACTATGTTACAAATTAGACTACTATACATTACAATATTATACCTTCCAATCTAAACTACATTGTATAATATCGTATACACAGCCCAATGTAAGCTCTAACATTATGCATTATATTGATATGCCTCCAACTAAACTTTTTCTAAATTACACGACTATAAACCTTAATATGCGTGACTGCACCGACCTTCCAGCGTTCAAATCATTGACTAAAACTCACCTTTTTAAAATTTATTTTAATGTTTAGCAAAGTTTAATGTGTTTTTAGTGTTTTTACCATTTGATGTTGTTTTTGCTGCTTTTATGATTTTATGTTAAGTGTCTTTGAGTATTCAGAAAAGCGCTCACAAATGAAATATATTATTATTAATAATATACACTGCCATAGACAAACCCCACCCTTGAATTATACAATGCGTTACTATACACTACCCTATACTTTAGACTATAAAATATTAGACTTGTAATGTTACACTATGTATTATTCTACCAACCCTACTGTGTACCACACTGCTGTATATTCACTATACAATTATGATACTATATATTACTTTTTTTTCGGTAAAGTCACGTAGGTAAAATAGAACAATTAAAGCACGACGTTTCGGAGGCAACACAAGCTTCCGTCTTCAGGTGGAAGTCACAGCAGAATATCTGCGTCAAGCACTTGACACAGATATTCTGCTGTGACTGTTCCACCTGAAGACGGAAGCTTGTGTTGCCTCCGAAACGTCGTGCTTTATTTGTTCTATTTTATTTTACCTACGTGACTTTACCGAAAAAAACAAAAAGTATGAATCCTTGCAGTCACGAAAGCTTCAAATCTAGAAATACTATATATTGCCTTATGAATTATGTTAAACATTCCACTGTTATACTATTTTATTACTATACAACATGGTATAAACCATACCATTGACCGTCATGTGAAAGGTACTAAGAGGCAGTGTCAGCGAATGGACTGTGGTCTGAAAGTCACCGTAAAATAACAATCAAAAACCGAAATGGTTTATAACGTCGTTCCAATGGTTACTAAGCTAGAATACATCTTCTCGGTTGAAATTGTCTCTGTGTTTGTATATGTGGATGGCCTCATGAACGAATCTCTCATGGTTGCCGGATGGCTTGCAGAGAACCTCCATCTTGGAGAAGTCAATGTCATGTGAGCCTACTGAATTATAGCAGTGATCTGCCATGGCTGAGGTGTTCCTCCTACCGTGTTTTAAGTCTGCTTTATGTTCACCGATGCGGTCCGAGATATGTCGTTTGGTTTCTCCAATATAGCTGCTACCACAGAGGCAACTTAGTTTGTAGACGCCCGGGTACTGTATGTCTGGAACCACATCTTTTACCGACGGAACCAGATCACATATTTTATGTACTGTGTTGAATCGGACCTGGATCTTGTGTTTATTCAGGATTTTGGAGATCTTTATTGTGACCCCCGCAATGTAGGGTAAGGTGATAGTTTTGAATGGCTCCTCAAGAGGATCCTTCTTCATGGTTGGAATGATGGCTTTGCGGATTGTGTAGTCGGAGTAAACATTGGCTTTGATAGCTTGGTGGATGGTGGTGGGAATCAGGTTTTAAGTAAGCATCTGTATGGTTAGCTTTCCTGTAGACAGAGTGGCTCATTGAACCATCAGGTCTCCTTTTAATTAGGACATCCAAAAATGGTAGCTTGCCATCTTTTTCGACTTCCATGGTAAATCTGATGTCTGGGTGTATGGAATTGATGTGGTCGAGGAATTGGTCTAGAGGAGGCCTGCCATGTGGCCAGATAACAAAAGTGTCATCCACGTATCTCTTCCATAAGGTCGGGTGTAGAGTGGCAGTCTGGATGGCGTCAGTCTCAAATGTCTCCATGAAAACGTTGGCTACAACCGGAGATAAGGGGGAGCCCATTGGGATGCCCTCAGTTTGTTTGTATAAAGTCCCATTCCAGGTGAAGTGTGTGTTGGTTAAGCAGTGTCTCACCAGGTGGGGTACATCAGTATGCAGTCCTTGATGAACCAAGTATTCAATGATTGCGATGGTGTCAGGTACAGGAACTTTGGTGAATAAGGAAACCACATCAAAACTGACAAGCAGGTCGTCTGGGGACAGGGAAATACCCTTGATTATAGATACCAGGTGAGTAGAGTTTAGTACCGCAGAGGTGGTTTTTCCAGTAAAAGGCCGCAGGATTTCAGACAAAAAATGAGCCAGTTTGTAGGTGGCGGAGTTGATAGTAGAGACGATGGGACGAAGGGGTATATCTTCTTTATGTATCTTTGGAAGGCCATATAATCTTGGTGGCCTGGCCGCAGAAGGTTTCAACGAGAACCGTTTGGTTTGATCAATTAATGCTGTTGAATCAGAAATGATTTTGTTGGTTTTAGTGACGAGGCTGTTGGTGGTGTCTCTTCTTATTTTTCTATAGCTACCATCGTTGAGTAGTTCCTGAATTTTGTTATATTTTATTTTGTCCATGATGACAGTGGCATTGTCCTTGTCAGCTGAGAGGATGACAATGTCACCCCTCTTTTTTTAATTGAGATAATTAGAAGCGCTCATCTTTGCTGATGTTACTAGCTGGCATCTTAGTGTTTTTGAGGCTTGCAGCGATTTCAGATCTTGCTACATCTACAGCAATGTGACCCAGGTCCTTGAGTGCCACGTCGACATGGGCAATGATTTCATTAACTGGTATGTGTCTAGGTGTAACTGCAAAGTTTAGTCCTTTAGCTAAGACGGTTTTCAGACCATCAGAAATAGAACTGTTACTGCGATTAATTATGACTTTGTTAACATCTAGCTTTTCGATGTGTGGATCCGATTTCTTGTTGAAGAGGCGGTTGAATTTGGAAATCAAGTTGTCCTTACATTTAGTCGACATAGTGGCAGCTGAAGAGGCAGTCATATTGTCCACATGGTCCCAATCCGATGTGGACATTGTTGCCGTCAATGATGAGTGGGACTTTCTACAAACAAACTGAGGGCACCCAAATGGGCTCCCCCCTATCTTAAAATCCGTGATCTGGTCCGTCGGTAAAAGATGTGGTTCCGGACATACAGTACCCGGGCATCTACAAACTAAGTTGCCTCTGTGGTAGCAGCTATATTGGAGAAACCAAACGACATATCTCGGACCACATCCGTGAACATAAAGCAAACTTAAAACACGGTAGGACGAACATCTCAGCCGTGGCAGATCACTGCTATAATTCAGTAGGCTCACATGACATTGACTTCTCCAAGATGGAGGTTCTCTGCAAGCCATCCGGCTACCATGAGAGATTCGTTCATGAGGCCATCCACATATACAAACACAGAGACAATTTCAACCGAGAAGATGGATTCTGGCTTAGTAACCATTGGAAAGACGTTATAAACCATTTCGGTTCTTGATTGATGGTTATTTTACGGTGACTTTCAGACCACAGTCCATTCGCTGGCATTGCCTCTTAGTACCTTTCATACGACGGTCAATAGTATAGTTTATAGCATGTTGTATAATAAATAGTATAACAGTGTAATGTTTAACATAATTCATAAGGCAATATATAGTATCGTAATTGTATAGTGGATATACAGCAGTGTGGTACACAGTTGGGTTGGTAGAATAATGCATAGTGTAATATATTAAAAGTCTAATTTTATAGTCTAAAGTATAGGGTAGTGTATAGTAATGCATTGTATAATTCAAGGGTGGGGTTTGTCTATGGCAGTGTATATTAAGGTGTATAGTCGTGTAATTTAGAAACAAGTTTAGTTGGAGGCATATCAATATAATGCATAATGCTAGAGCTTGCATTAGGCTGTGTATACGATATTATATAATGTAGTTTAGATTGGAAGGTATAATATTGCAATGTATAGTAGTCTAGTTTGTAGCAAAGTAGTAATGCAACACAGTACAGAGCAGCGCATCATTGCTGCTTCTTCTCTCCCCCCTCCTCTGTTCCGAGCATAGATGGACTCGTCCGTCTAAACAAAGCTCGTCGCTTTCCGTGGTGCTAACCACAGTGGTGCTAACGTTGAAAAGATAAAAGGAACCCCCACTTTTTTCCGACATAGTTCCGACATAGTTACATGCTAATCCCTCACATTAACAGCATGCTAATCCCCCAGTTACATGCTAATTTCTGACTTTAACATCATGCTAATCGAACACATTAACATAGCTACTTCAATGTTAAATTCTTCTGTTGATATGTAAACTCCTTGGTCAAGGCGCCCTGCTCCTCCCACCCAGCTTAAAAGACGCGGCCAAAGCTTGGCTGTGTTCACTGAAGCGCTGTCTTCCCGACAGTTCTGTCTCTTCACCTGAGGAAGGCTACTTGTGTTGTGGCTGAAACGTCGTGAGAATTTTTATTTTATTATGTTTTTTTTTTGTATTATTTTATTTCAATTCTACGTGACTTTACCGAAACAACCAAGAAGATGCATCCCTGCAGTCACGAAAGCTTTAAATCGAGACACAACACTGCCCGTAAATCCAACACTCCCCATCGATTCAACACTGCCCATAGATTCAACACTGTCCGTAGTCTCAACACTGCCCGTAGACTCACCACTGCCCGTAGACTCAACACAGCCCACAGTCTATGAGTCTACATGCATTTTTATGAGCCTTTGTGAGTCTATAGGTCTTTGTGTGAGTCTATGGGTCTCTGTGTGAGTCTGTGGGTCTCTGTTTGTGTGAGTCTATGAGTCTCTGTGTGGGTGTATGGGTCTCTGAGTGAGTTTATCAGTCTCCGCGTGAGTCTTTGGCTCTAAAAGTGACACCGTCACATGTGGTGTAACGGGCCAGGTGTGAGTGTCCCGAGCTGATCTCACCTGGTGAGTGGGAAGAGCCGCAATTGTCGCTGCGATTGTCTGGAGATGTCTCCCTCTCCACAGCAGGGAAATCAATGGGAACCTTCCCAACCCCAGCAGATATTTTATACGCACGTAGGGGTGGGTTTGAAAGGTGTGTCATTAACTTGAAGCACGGGTGTTAGTGGTCGATTAACAGAAGTTAAATAAGCATATTTATATAAAGACCTTCCCCCACCACCAAGACAACAATAACAGCAACTCGCTTGAGCAGTTCAACACAAAAGACAAAGATCCCCAGTGTGGCCTTAACAAATGGGGCAAATGCTGTTAGCGAGCACCTATAAAGGCCGGCACGGCACATGAGGGAGTGGGTGGCCAGCACCACGCCCGACCGCCTTTGTCTCCCTAGTGGCGATGTTTACACACCGCTCCTTTAGGCCACACACAGACCTCCAGACTCATACATATAGAGAAACGCAGAACCACAGCAACCCACAGACACACACAGGCCATAGACTCACAGAGAGACCCACAGATTCACACAGAAACCCACAGACTCACACATAGAGCCCCACAGACTCACACAGAGAGCCATAGACTCACAAACACACACAGACGCGCATACTCACACAGAGACCCAAAAATTCACACACCGAGACCCAAATACTTATACAAAGACCCACATACTCACACACAGAGACCCGCAAACACATACAAGAAACCACAGTCTCACACGGAGAGACCCACTGACTAACAGAGAGACCCATAAACTCACACACACAGCGACCCACAGATTCAAAAGACAAGACAAAGATCCCACGTATAGCCATAACAAACTGTTGGGGCAAGTGCTGTTAGTGAGCACCTATAAAGGCCAGCACAGCACACGATGTGTTCGTGGCCTGCATTATGTTTGTTCGACCACCTTTGTCTCCCCAGTGGCAATGTTTATACACACCGCACCAAGTACTAATTTGAGGCAGAGTCGACCTAGGGGAGGTCCAGGACCGGTTCAGATAATCGTCACTGGTAGTCATCACCGGAAATCAAACTCGGGTGACCGGGTTCGTAGCGCAACGCGCTAACCACTTTGCCAAGGTCGGCCTCTGTAGAGGAGGTTCGTTAAGGATGCTACTGGGCAGTACCAGCCTAGGTGCACAGCGAGGCTATTGGTCAGTTGGAGGCAGTCGCCCTCCAGCAACAATGGAGAGCAGATGAGTGATGCTCACAACAAGGAGCGGAGCACTGGGCGTATTAAACGCAGCAAGTTGGCATAGTAGGGGCGCAACTGGTGCATCTGCCAGTCATCTCAATCCGTCAACTCATAGCACCTGGGTCCCTGCACCTAGCATCGTACAGTATTCAACCCATAGCACCTGGGTCTGTCCAGTGACCTACTGTACCTAGCCAGGCACATCAGTCAACCTGTTACACCTGTGCATTGGTGTCTGAGCAAGTGTATGAGTGAGTGTAATATTCTACTTCGTGAGCGTTGGCCCAGGAGACCACGAGTTCCATTCCCACTCACGGTCAACACGCACACAGAGACCCACAGACTCATTCAGATTTTCTCATAGAACCACAGCGATCCCACCATCCCGGAGGATGACCATCCCTGGGAAATTCTAGATTTGAAGATTTTGTGACTGCAAGAATTCATACTCTTTAGTTTTTTCGGTAAAGTCACGTAGGTAAAAAATTAAATGAGAAAACAACTAAATTAAATCATGACGTTTTGGAGGCAACACAAGCTTCCATCTTCAGGTGGAACGTTACAGTAATTTTGCTGTGACGGTTCCACCTGAAGACGGAAGCTTGTGTTGCCTCCGAAACGTCGTAAATTAAATTTAGTTTTAAATTTTGATTTAAAGCTTTCGTGACTGCAGTAATTCATATTCTTAGTTTTTTCGGTAAAGTCACGTTGAAGAGAAACAACAAAATAACAAAATATATATAAAACAATAAAAAATTCTCACGACGTTTCGACCATAACTCAAACGGTCATCATCAGGTGTGTCGGTTTGCATAAATTTATTTTTAAAACGGCACATTTATTTATTTATAAAAAAAACGTTGGCGTCACGCGCAGCGATTGCCAGTTTGCCCAGGACTAGTCCATCTATTTTTTTGAAAAGAGGAGGGGGGAGACGAAATTTTTTATAACGTATGCTGTCTGAAAGCCACTGTAAGCGTGAACAATCAATCAAGAACTGAAATGATTTATCAAATCTTTCCAATGATTGCTAAGATAGAATCCATCTTCTCGGTTGAAATTGTCTCTGTGCTTGTATATGTGGATAGCCTCATGAACGAATCTCTCATGGAAGCCAGATGGCTTACAAAGAACCTCCGTCTTGCTGGGATCACAAAAAAGATCTCCAAAATCTTGAATAAACACAAGATCCAGGTCCGTTTCAACACATTACATAAAATCCGTGATCTGGTTCCATCTGTAAAATATGTGATTCCGGACATACAATACCCTGGTGTCTACAAACTAAGTTGCCTCTGTGGTAGTAGTTACATTGGAGAAACCAAACGCCATGTTTCGGACCGCATTCGTGAACATAAAGCAGACCTTAAACACGGTAGGACCAACACCTCGGCCGTAGCAGATCATTGTTCTAATTCAGTAGGCTCACATGCCATTGACTTTTCCAAGACGGAGGTTCTTTGTAAGCCATCTGGCTTCCATGAGAGATTCGTTCATGAGGCTATCCACATATACAAGCACAGAGACAATTTGAACCGAGAAGATGGATTCTATCTTAGCAATCATTGGAAAGATTTGATAAATCATTTCAGTTCTTGATTGATTGTTCACGCTTACAGTGGCTTTCAGACAGCATACATTATAAAAAATTTCGTCTCCCCCCTCCTCTTTTCAAAAAAATAGATGGACTAGTCCTGGGCAAACTGCCAATCGCTGCGCGTGACGCCAACGTTTTTTTATAAATAAATAAATGTGCCGTTTTAAAAATAAATTTATGCAAACCGACACACCTGATGATGACCGTTTGAGTTATGGTCGAAACGTCGTGAGAATTTTTTATTGTTTTATATATATTTTGTTATTTTGTTGTTTCTCTTCAACGTGACTTAAATTTAGTTGTTTTTTCATAAAAAAATTTTACCTACGTGACTTTACCGAAAAAACCAAAGAGTATAAATCCCTGGGGAACTTGGAACTGAACGTGTTAAGACATCATAAAGCGGTGTGGTACTCTCAGATTACATTGAGATGCCTCCTAACTCCGAGTTATGATGAATGAGTTCTGCTCTTGTGCAACAAGGCAGCAGCAAGCAGCAAACTAAACTATATTTGCTTTTACCAGGTAAGGACCAATGAGTTATGTAACTCTTTTTTTAGAAGCGACCTGGCTACAAATGGTAGCTCACTTCTGTTTACTAACCCTCATCTCTTCCACAACCCGTTCCTGTGGGTGTCAAACAGGAGCCGTAACATCTCTCACTGGGAGGTGGTGCAGCAAATTGCGGACTAAATTTAATTTGAATGTATGTGGAATTCCTTTCGCACCGAACGTAGCGAACCGCGCAAATCGGAGGTGCAGGTGAAGGACAACCAACTAAACACCACAACAAACAGTTTTAAATAAATTCGTTTTCAATCTGGATAGAATGTTTCCCCCTTACATGATTGGGTTTCTCCGGGTGCTTCGGTTTCCTCCCACGTGTATAAATAACACTCATTGTCCCTTGACATCTTAATGTATAGAGGACTGCAGACCTTGTGCAATTGTTGGAACCGCTGGCTCCTGACTACTGTGTAGCTCAGGGGTGGGCAAATTGTTTGACTCGCGGGCCACAATGGGTTCTAAAATTTGACAGAGGGGCCGTGCCGGGAACAGATGGATGGAGTGTTTGTGTGAACTAATATAAATGACGTGTAAAAATCATTACAAGAAAGGATTTGGCCTTTAACAGGTAGCAAAGCATTTATTTACAAGGCAATTTAACAAATTGCACGAACATGAACAATACAAAAACATGTAACTCCCGGTCAAAGTGCGCAATCTAATGTGGAAATGGGGGCATTACAGGAGAAAGGTAAAATTAAAATTAAATAATAATATTTGGACAAGCTCGGCGGGCCGGATTAAAAAGCCCAACGGGCCGTATACGGCCCGGGGGCCGTACATTGCCCATGTCTGGTGTAGTTGCTGCTGCCACCCCCCTGATCATAACTAAATAACTATGTTTTACTTTAGCAGGTAAGGCTCACTGATATATGTAGCTCTTTATCAGAAGCGGTGGCCATAAATGATAGCTCCACGAAGTGGCTTATCACGTGGACATTTGTAGCAGCAGTCATACTCTGAACACGTGATGTTGATTCTAAATGTGGAGGGAAAAAACCCGAGTACTCGGAGAAACATCCACGGGGAGAGAGAGACGCACACACCAAGTAAACAAGAGGTGTCAAGGGTCTGGATCGAACCCACGACCTCCTGCATACCAGACGAGGGAATTCACATCTCGCCACGGTGTCACTAATATTTGGTCCACCATATACGATAAAGGGGTTAGGACAGCAGCCAAGCAGCCAAGCAGCCATGCAACTAGGCAGGCAGCCAGGCAGAGACTTGCAAAGCTGAACCTCGACCTTCCATCACCTCACGGCTGTAGGACTCGACCTGTGACACCGGATTAACCGCCAGTCACACTTCGGGGCTTGCTTTACATTTTAATCATTGCTGGGCGGGGTGTCGATTCGTTCATTCACCAGACCCGCTGGCTCCGTGAGGTATCTCTCATCAATGGGTAACGTCTAATCTGCCCGTCCTACAGAGTGAGATGGGACTGGGGGCAGGGGGTTCGGTATAGCCTGGTGGGGAGCAGTGGCGCAGTGGTTAGCACACTCCAACTACGCTACGAGCCCGGCGACCCAAGTTCGATTCCCGCTCACGACCGAAAAACGATTGGCGAATATTTTGAATCAGAATCAGAATCATTAATTACCACAGATGTCCAGTAGTGCTGGGCCTCCCCTAGGTCGACCCAGCCTCAAATGAGAAGCTGGTGTGCGGTGTGTTGTAAAAATCGCCACTGGCGAGACAAAGGCGGCCGGGAGTGGTGCTGTCCACCCACCCTCTCGTGTGCCATGCCAGCCTTCATAGCTCCCCAACAGTCTGTTAAGGCTATACGGGGGATCTTTGTCTCTGTGCGAGTCTGTTGGTCTCTTTGTGTCTATGAGTCTCACGTGAGGCCTCTCGTTGGTCGA